CTTCCAAGAAAGTTGTGGCAATTGCATCAGGTCACATGCTGTGTAGCCATAGCGAGCCATAGGGTGAGGGAAAGCAGAAACATGATATGCTCAGCAAATTCTTTTTAAGATGGCAGTAAGCCCTGTCGGCTCCAGAAAGCTACCTGAAAGGAGCTGTAAGATTTTGACCAGAGAAATGCAGAGGTACGTACAGACAAATTTTAGAGCTAAAATACAAAAGGTAAAAAAATAAAGCTAGGCAATCTCAAGCCACTGCAGTTGGTATTGTGTATGTTCATTGTAAATTGTGCAGAATGACTGAGAATAGAAGAATGGCCATACTAGAGCATATTAAAGGTCCGTTTGCACAGCATGCTGTCACCAGCCATGAACAGATGTAGTAATGAGTATACACTCATCATACACTCTTCATCTAAAGAAGAAAGGGTAAGCATATGCTGATACTTCTTTCATTTCTCCAACTGCCTTTAGCTCAGGGGACTTCCTGAGTAGGCTGTGGCTTTGTACAGTAGTGGTGCTTTCACATCCCATGGATTTTTATTTCACAGATCTTTCCAGTTTCCCTTGAACCTGTGTAAAGTTTCTGCATCCACAACATTGGTCAGCAAGGAAATCTGTGGCCCTTGGCACAAGGAATTACTCCTCATGTTTGTTTTTGACTTGGCTTCTCCAGCCTTTTTTTTGCACTTGGAGTGCAAGATGGGGTTAAACCAGAGGCCTATGCAGAGGCATAATAATGTTTGCCGTTCAATTCTTTCATCCTTTCCCAGTAACACTTAACAACTGATCTGCATTTTTGAGAGCTGCCAGGCATTAAACTGCCTTTTTCACAGAACTGTTTGTCATAAGGTCTTACTCCTGCATGTCATGCCACATTAACCTCAGACCCTGGGGTTTTTCTGTATGTTGGGCTAGGATTGTTTCTTCCTAAGTGCATCACTTTATGTTTATCTATGTTTAACTTAATCCACTCATTCTTGTAAGGTTCTTCAGTAGCTGTAGTGGTTAAGGCAGAGGATGCAAAATGTAGTCTTAAAACCATTTTTGATTTGTGTTTGTCTTCTAACATAAAACTAAGAGAAATAACATTTGTTCTCAAATTTTATAAAATTATGGGCTTGTGCCTTTAAAATTCCAACACAGCTTTGTAAAACTCCTGAATGTTGTTTTAATGCATGTGTGTAATAGACTTGTGTTAGTATAAAACATGTATTAAAACATTAGTATAAACCAAACATATGGTAACTTTGTGGCTTTTCTCCAGACTTCACAGGTGGGTTTTGACCTTAAAACCTTTGGTGTTTTGACCTAAACAGTAGAGAAATCGAATTTACTTGAAGCAGCCGTCTCTGTTTGGGCAGACATGTTTCTTTGAAAATACAGAGTCTGGGGCCTGACCTTGGCAATATGTGTTGGAACATGAAAATGTTGCCACAAGTGATAGCAGTTTAAAAACATCAGCTTCCTCTTTATTTTGATGTTGTAAGCATTATTTCTAGAACATGTGTTTGGCACACGAATGCTGAGGATAAAATTGTAACATTGTTATTCTTTGCTTACTCTGGGTTTAAATCCCTGAATTATCTACCTTTAGTTTTTTGAATATGGGTGTAAGAGTACGCTCATTTGCATTTCGAGAATGGTGCCTGTTTTCAGAAGCCCTTTGGACATGTTGTAACAAGGTAAAAGTTAGTGGTGAAGCAAGGGAGGACATGAATATTTGTAGGAAAATCAGAGACTTGGGAAGAGTTTCAGAATTAGCTCACTGTTTTCCAGGCTGCTGCATATTCACTTTTAGAGTATCTCTGCCCAAAAACTAGTATTCTCGCTAAACCTGACATCACAGTACTGCACAGTCCACAGCCCAAGTTTAGTTCTGCTGGAAAAATAGACTAAATGTTATTCTGAAACTGAACATCATTAATTTAGATGTGAATAACAGAAGGAAAGCTATGAGAAGTCTGTGCATGTGCATGGCTGTCTTTTGCAAATGGAGCACTTTTGCAAGACACACAGTGATTTTTTTTTTTTTTTTTGAACTAGAAATGCTGTATTGAAAACCAGGTAACAACCCACTGGATAGCTTTGAGCTGTAGTGAAATTGCATACAGGTGAATAATACAGTAAATATTATCCTCTTTCAGATCCTCATCCCCATCCACGAACTTTTTCCTTAATATTCTGAATACTACTGTTCCTGCTTGGAACAGATTGCTACTTTCATTTCCAGAAATGGGAGAAAACCGTTGTTCAAAATTAAGTAAGTTCCCTGGTGCTGCCCCTACTCTCCTGTAACATCAAGTGCATATGTAGGGCAAGACTGTAGCAGAATCTTTAAACAAAAGAAAAAGACAAAAAGACTTTTCTGCCTAGGTGGTCTTTCTCAGAGCAAAGGCAGCTTTTGTGGTGGTAGAACAGAACTTCCCTTGTTCTGCAGTGTTTCCTATCCCACTGATGTAGGCTGGTAATGTCAGTTTGACGTAGGAATAACGTTTTTTTTTGTCTCGGCACAATAAATATTAGGTACCAAAGTGGAAGTACAGAAATAAGTCTTGTGCCACCAGGACGGGGTTGTAAAAGTACGTATTCAACATAATTAGGTACCTAATAGGGTGCTTAAGGTTAAGTAATGTATATACATATGTAAGTAATTACATTATATTGGAAAGTATTCTATTTGTCGTGGTTTGTTCTCTGCTCCCTACAAATCAAATTATAGGTAGAGTTTGTTCTGTAACTATTTGAAAATGCTTGCTTTCTGAGTAATTTCTTTTTTTTGGTTGGGTTTTGTTTGGTTGGGGTTTTTTTTTTTTGGTGAGGGTAGCAAAGCTTAAAAAACTACCTGTGAAAAATCCAAGCCAGCGTGGAAAATAAAACAAGGACATGCATTAGGGAGATTTGAAAGTAAGTTATATCTAGCCAACTTTTTAATAGTTAAACACCATGAGGTCAGAAATCACCGGAAACTGTTTCCGTCTGCTTATAAAAGCTGGTGAACAATGCAGCTCTTTGGATTGAAGTCACCAGCTAACTGTTTTGGAACGGCTTTGTGTAGTAGATTCTTGTGCCTTAATCTGTCCTTGGTCGAAAATGCTGTAATGGAGAGAACTTTAACAATTTCTCTTGTTAGTGAAACCAGCCATTTCATAATGGGGAGAAACTAAGGAATAGCACTTATTACAAAACTGAGTTTCCACTAAATCTGATGATCAAAAAGAGGATGAGCTTCAACTTAATAATCAGGGCACAGGCAACAAACAACCTCTGTGGGTCTTTGGTTATTCCAGGTTGTTAACAAAACTGTTTTCAGAAAATTCTGTTTAAATTGATTACACGTGAGAAAATTTTGGAAAAAAAACCAGTGGTACGGTGCTGGAGAACTTCTGTTAGACCCACCAGACCTGGAAGCAAGGTTGGTTTGAGTTCATTCATGGTGGAAGTCCCCAGCCCACTGAATAGTGAAATTAACGAGGACTTAATTTTAGGCTCAAAGCCTGTCCATTAATACAAGTAAATAAGCCAAATTTATGCAGGAATAGCAACAGGGAAATGCCAGCACTAGAAGTGTAAAGGGAAGACAGACAGCAGGCCACTGAAACAGCATACCAGAAGAATGTATGAGAATAATTTCCATTTTGTCATTAGGCTGATTTCTTGGCCATGGGCTTTTTAGTCTAAATATTTTAAAATAGTTTTTCCAGTGCTTACTTTGATCCGTACCAATTCCTTCTGTTGCATCAACACTACCCCCACTGCTTTGGATTTAGACTTTTATTGGATAACCTTTAACTGTATACCCTGTGGAGAAGGGCATAGTCTCTGTGTCTCAGTAGTTGGGGCTAGAAGTGGGGGAGTTAAATTACATGACCTGTCAAGTGTTAAAGAGGAGCTTATCTATTGTTACTGCCTTTTTATAATGCCACCATTTACTGGTAAATGCTAATGTTTGACTAGGGAACACTTATACTGGCTTGGATTACTGTAACATTACTTAGTACACTTGGCTGGGCGCATGCTCTTGTGGACAAGCAAGTGCAGCATCAGTCAGGCTCACCATGAACTTGGTCTGGACCTGTCTTCAGAATTTACCTCTCTAAATCGCGTCTGCTGCAGTGATTTCTTACTGTCTTTCATGTGTGACCAACATATAAACTGTCAGCAATAAAGATTACAAGAAAGATGCAGGTGAAGTTGTGCTCTGAGTCCCTAGCATTCTGCTAAAAATCCTGACTATATTTTTTGAGCTCAGAGAGCTCTGCAGGGACAGTATGATTTTTAGTGGTGAATACTGGTAATAGCTTCACTGTTAAGGAAATCCTTCATTTTTCTGAGTTATTGAATAATGTATGCGAGTAACTGTAGTGACTTTTGTGCGTGCACATGCATGCGTGTATGTGTGATTTTGGTGTAACAACTTCAATTATTCTATGTATAACTTTGAGCTTAATTCTTTGCTTCTGTTTGTTCTTGATCATTCAGCCTATCAGTTTCATGCCAAGCAATATTTAAGTTCATTTCTTTAGGTACAGTTCTTCTGCTAGTCATTTTAACAGCTACATGCACTACACCAAAGAATTTTAAATAATTTTCATTTTCTTTTTTTCAGACTTAAATTAGAAGTTCCTGATAAGGATTTTTTGTTTTCGTACTACATGTCTATTACATATTTCAGCATAGACGGTGTCCTGATTTTGGCTGGGATAGAGTTAATTTTCTTTCGACTAGCTAGTATGGGGCTATATTTTGGATTTGTGCTGGAAGCAGGGTTGATAACACAGGGATGTTTTAGCTATGGCTCAGCAGGGCTCCTGCAGAGCCAAGGCCTTTTCTGCCTCTCACCCCACCCCACCAGCGAGTGGGCTGGGGGTGCACAAGAAGCTGGGAGGGGGCACAGCCAGGACAGCTGACCCCAACTGGCCAAAGGGATATTCCATACCATACGATGTCATGCTCAGTATATAAGCTGGGGGAACGAGAAGGAAGCGGGGATGTTCAAAGCAATGGCGTTTGTCTTCCCAAGTCAGCGTTACATGTGATGGAGCCCTGCTTTCCTGGAGATGGCTGAGCACCCGCCTGCTGGTGGGAAGCAGGGAATGAATTCCTTGCTTTGCTTTCCTTGCATGTGCAGGGCTTTTGCTTTACCTATTAAACTGTTTTTATCTCAACCCATGAGTTTTCTCACTTTTACACTTCTGATTCTCTCCCCCATCCCACTGTGCGGGGAGTGAGTGAGCAGCTGGGTGGGGCTGAGTTGCTGGCTGGGGTTAAACCACATCAGATGGAATTATAAAAAATGAACCCAACTATAAATATAGCATGTCTGGGGTTTTTTGTGTCTATACTTATACATTTTCCTATTATAATTCTTCTATTATAAGTGCTATATCAATTATATTTATTACATATTCTATTAGAATTTTTTATCTGTGTGTTGAAACACTAACTTGGTATGAAAAGCAGTAAGAGACTTCTCTGATTGGGGTATGGATACTACTAAGTTGCTCCTCTTGAAGACGATGAAAAGATTTTTGGAGTGCTTTAATCCTAACCAGGCCACAGGAGGTGTCTGAACGCTGTTCTCAAAGTTCTATTTCAAAGAAAACCTTGCTGCTTTATTTTTAGAAACAGGAGTTTCAAACAGAAAATTACCTCAAATTTAATACACTGTGTCATAAGGGGAAGTTCTTAGAGTGCCTCTTGGGATGTGGTATGTATTTGTGCAACCTATTTATGCCATCTTTCATAAATTGCTGATTACTTTTTTTGTTCTCTCACTCCCTTCTGTCATGTAGCCGTCCTCAGAAGGTGTGTTTATGTCCGTTTCTGCCAATACATCCGCTAAAGGTCTCCACCTGCTTGTATATAATTCAGCATCCAGCAGAGGTGAGTAAGGCTGTGGTAATTGTTGGAGTTCAGCTAGAATCTTAATGTAGCATAATGGTAGGAAAGAGGGCATGGCTATCATATAATGATTTTTCCTTTTAAACTTGATGATTGAAATGTCAGTTCACCTGAGTTATTGCATCTTTTATTCAGCTCTTCTGAATTATTGCTTCTTCTGAAGTCTCACCTTATTTCTGCAGCTTCCATGCATGCAAGACATCTTTTCTTCTCTGAATAGGCCTGCTAGAATCTGAAGTCTGCTTGCTTTGGTACAAATTGCAAGAATTAATCTTGACATGGTGGCTCACGGAGGTGCTCAGAGTTGATCCAGGAAGGAATGTGTTTTGATTATAGCAGTTAGTGTTCTGTTAAAAATATGAATTAAGCAATTCATCTTAGTGATGACCGTAGCTGTTTAGCCAATGAAAAACTATAGTCTAGCTTCAGAATAGTATGTTTTTGTTTACATAATAAGAGAATTTATGTTTTCTTATCTGGTAACAATGGAATATGGTGGTGGATCATAAAGGGTTTTAGAAGTTGGACTGCAACTACACTGGAACGGGTTGCCCAGAGAGGTAGTGGAGGCCCCATCCCTGGAAACATTCAAGGACAGGTTGGACGGGGCTGTGAGCAACCTGATCTAGTTAGCGGTGTCCCTGCTGACTGCAGGGGGATTGGACTAGATGACCTCTAGGGGTCCCTTCCAACCCAAAACATTCTATGATTCTATGATACACAGATCTGGACAGATAGTGGGTCTACAAACTAGACTGTGAAGTTCAGAAACCCGTACTCATCAGGTCCACCTGTTTACTTAGCATTGTACAGTAGCTCAATCAGCACACAGAGTCTTTGGCTAGGGAACTTAAACAGAATGTAAGAGAGCAAGTTAGAGAAAAGTGTTCTCTCACAGAGAAACAAAACAGAAGCCATGACATATTGATCCCTAAATGGGAAAGCTGTGATTTTTAATTGGCTACTTATAAGAAGAATATTGTTTTGTGATACTTATTTTGAAAATACATAAGTATATGCCTAAGTCACTTGCTGGAAAAAAAGATGTTTAAAAATGTGATAGAGAACTTTGAACTGTCATTTGAATTGCCTTGAATTTCTTATTCATGGTGGCAGGTATTACAAAACGTTTGCAGATTCTTTTTAGATTTCGTACACCATTCCTGTGTCCTTCTGAAAGGCTATCTATGTACACTTTTTATTACAATCACAACAGCTGTGTGTTACAATGGGATGCAACTTTTCCGTTAGTGTATCTTATGTAATGATAATTCACATGATAAACTAGTATTGGAAGACCACTGTATTTGAAGAGAATCCATCTGAGAGGAAAAATTTAACTATTTGACTATACAAGGGCACTTGGTTTATCAGAGATAAATGCAAACAAATGGTGGGAAGCTAAGAATATTTTACAATGATCTTTGAAAGTGTTTGTCTTAGATGATCATAGGTGATGCTTTTGGCTCCATAACAGCAGAGGCATACCTGACAAAAGATAGGTTCCCTTTGGTGTAGTTGCTCATACTCAAAATACAATCAGTCCTGAAGGCAGATAAGCCTTCTAGACTGTATCTGATCCAGTCTGCCATTTCATTACAGATACACTCTAAGAGTCTGTTTCAAAAGTATCTCATTAAACTAACTGGATAGTGAATATCTTTCCCCTACTGCACATCAGTGCTGACTGTTATCCTCCATGTGTTTCATTATTTATTGGCTTTGGAAGTCCACAGTTCAGTGAAGTATGCCACCAACTATGGTCAAATGTCGCTACTGAGACTTGTATTCAGGTGAGATGTAGGAAGGCAGGAGCAACATTTCCTGTGCTCTGATTAATGTGACTATGTCTCCACATTCCTACTATCCAGAGCTGTGCTGCCAGATAAACTTGTGCAGGTATCAGGTACTGTGAAAAAGAGAGGAATCACTTATTGCAGAGCAGTGGATCCCAGGTGAGGAATCCTACTATCCAGCTTCCATTTTGCATAATAGGTCCATGAACTAATTAGATTTTTATTTGTGAAGGAATCTGAAGAGAATTCAGCATTCCATGTCAAGGGGTAAATACTTGTTTTCTGAATAGTGTGTGTTCCATTGTTCATAATGAGAGTAATTTAAGAATTGAGTTTATAGAAACACAGTATCCCAAACCCAGCATCAGGACTAGTGGAAAGGTGAAGGAGTTATTTGCCTAGCCTAATTTCTTTTTCTTCTTTGCATATAGATACATATATATAAAAGTAAATAAAATAATTTTGTCATTTTTCCCTTCTCATGCCTACTGTTATGAACCTTATGTCAGGTCAGTGGCATAGCTAGGTGTAGAAACCCCTGCACATTTTTTTTTTACCTTTGCCTTTTAACATCCTTGGAATGACCTCCATCAGAGCGTAGGCCATCATGTACTTTTGAAAACCTGAGCAATGGGTATAACTCAGGACAGAGCCCTTAAAGCATAGCAGAGGGTATCTGTTTAGGTTGTTCTGCTTCCCTGCCTTCTTTCTTTCTGTAATTGCAAGAATTTTCAATGTTAAGCATCTGAGAAGAAAATTAGACTGTGTGTATTTGATGGATTTGTATATTGATCTAATGCCAGTAATTAGCTTTGACTTGCTCATTATAATACCTCTTCTGTATAGTATTCCTTAATGAACAGTAAGAATCAAATATAAGGGGAAAATTTTTGCTAATTGTCCTAACAATTCATAAACAAAAATGGAGGAAATATATATCTGCTGGCTTTAATAAATATTTGTATTAGTTAGAACTGTCCTGTTCATTGTAGATGGATAATGCTATGCTAATCAAAAGTACCACTAATTCCCAGAAAAGAAAAAAAACAAATGCAAAAGTAAGTCGTTCTGGGTCTGACTGGGATGGAGTTAACTTCCTGGTTAGCAGCCCTCATAGTGCTGTGCTTTGTATTTGTGGCTAGAACAGTGTTAATAACACACCAGTCTTTTGGCCACTGCTGAGCAGAGCTTGCACAGTATCAGGACTTTCCCTCAACCCCCACCCCCCTCCAAAGGCCAGTAGCCTGGGGGTGGGCAAGAGATGGGGAGATGACATAGCCAGAACAGCTGAACCAAGCTGACCAAAGGGATATTCCATACCATATGATGCAATAAAAGTTGTGGAAGCAGGGATGGCATTTGTTACTATGGTGGTTGTCTTTCTGAGCAACCTACATGTGCTGAGGCCCTACTTCATGGGAAGTGTCTGGATATTGCCTGCTGATGGGAAGTAGAGAATAAAATCTTTATATTTTCCTTTGCTTCTGCACATGGCCTTCACTTTTCTTTATTAAACTGCCTTTATCTTGACCCACAAGTTCATTTTCATCCTATTTTCTCCTTCCTGTCCTGCTGAGTAGCAGGAGTGATAGAGTGGCTTAGTGGGCACCTGAAGACCAAGCAAGGTCAACCCACCACGTAAGTCCTCCGATCCTATTTCTATTTATGTGCTTCAATGGTCAAATAATGAATAAGCAAAGAGTTGCAAATCACTGTTAGAACACTGAGAAGGACAAAGTTGAGAGTAACTGCTCACTTTCAAACCAGTAAATGGAAAATAGCTGAAATGATAACAAATAGGTTAGATATAGTCTAGTTAAATACAAATGGTTTTTAATGAAAAAAATTATAAACAAGTGAAACTTTTTTTAGTGTTAATTTGACTTAGCTGTTCTTAAGCTGCTGTTCTCAAACAGTTCCTTCAGCTTTTGAATTTTATGCTTTATCTTCCTGTAAACGTGGATTGTTTTTCAGATTGGAAGATTCCATTTTCCCTGTTGGTAAGCAAATGTAATTATTTGATATGAAAGGTAGTTCTGAAGTAATGATATGACATTGGAGGGAACAGTTTGTGGTGGTTTGACCCTGGCTGGACGCCAGGGGCCCACCAAAGCCACTCTATCACTCCCCTGTTTAACCGGACAGAGGAGAGAAAAGTAAATCAAATGGCTCATGGGTCAGGATAAAGGACAGGGAGAGATCGTTTGTCAGTTACCGTCGGAGGCAAAACAGACTCAACTTGATAAAATTAATTTAATTTATTACCAATCAAAATCAGAGAAGGAGAGGATAAAAAACCTGCTAAATCTTAAAACACCTTTCCCCACCCCTCCTTTCTTCCTGGGCTCAACTTCACTCCCAGTTTCTCTACCTACTCCCCCCAGTGGCGCAGGGGACAGGAATGGGGGTTGGGGTCAGTTCATCACATGTTGTCTCTGCCGCTTCTTCTTCCTTGGGAGAGGACTCTTCCCCTGCTTATGCGAGGGGTCCCTCTCACGGGACACAGTCCTCCACGAACTTCTCCAACGTGAGTCCTTCCCACGGGCTGCAGTTCTTCACTAACTGCTCCAGCATGGGCCCATAATTTCCACAGGGTGCAATCCCTCAGGAGCAGACTGCTCCCGCGTCGGGCTCCCCC